ATTTACAAATGTAGTTGTTCGCACGTGGATACGTATCGTACTGGATATAACATTTTGTGGCAAGCTCGATAAAATATTATGTAGCTGATTTCCGGAATTGGATTTATGACGGTTGCTCGGGCGTTTTCTCAAATTGTCCATTGGCGCAATCATCCATGAAATTGCTGGCAACGTTCTTAATAATCGCTGTTATAAAGTAGAGTCATCTGCAATACTTTGTCGTAGCAATATCGTTTCGTTCTACGACGGTCGAAAGAAACGACAGCGCCTCGACCAAGACTTTTCTCTCGGTAAAGACCGAAACTGAGCATGCGGAATCGTAAGAGATTAATGTTCCTTAAATATCTTTTTTCTTCTGAACGATTAATCCTTTAGTGAAAATCAATATTATCATGTTTACGTCGCCAAGGAATCCAAAGAATAATACAAACATTACATGTAATTTGTGGATATCCGGCGGATAGCGAATTTATTTTTTTAAGTAAATTTTTGACAAAAATAAAATTATTTATATTTATGTAATTATTAAGTTTTATAATATCGTTTTTATATGATTATTATTATTCATAATCATTCAGAAATATCTTTAAAGAAGAAAAATGATTTTTTAAATAGATAAAAATATATATGTTTTACAAAGTAATATTAAATTTTCTTTTTAACAAAATTTAATATTTTTAAATAAACTTATGTATCAATATTCTTACATATATATTTTGAATAAAGTGAGTATGTATATGAGTATGTATTAAAACTGTGGTTATAATATATTCTTTCTAAATAGATTTAGAAAATATATATTTTTTGATTTCATGATTTAGCAATTTAATAGTTCGTTAAAATTAAGTAATATATAAAATAAAAAATCATGTTCTCTTTTTAATTAACTAAAAGAAGACTTATTATATAGCATTTACCATTCAATAAGATAATACCGTGAATCTGCTCGGTATTTTTCGATCAATCCGCACAGACAATTTAAAAGTTCTCTCTTCGTTGAATTGAATTTATTTTGATTGAAGTTTTCTCACGGTTTTTCAACACTTCGGTGAACATCGAATTGAAAGCACAATAGTCTCATCATTTCTTGCGATAAAACGTTGGTTGTTGCATTGAAGTTTTCCGCTCATATCTGTTGTTTTTGAATTTTTTCTCGTCAATCCTTTCCATTAGTAGTAAATTTTCATCGTTTTGTTGAATCTTGAAAAGAAAAGATCAAAAGATATTCTTACTTTGTTTCTCCACATTTCTAACTTTTATCTGTATTTTAATTGTTAATCCAATATTGCATGTTATGTTGCGAGAATAAAAAATAGAAGGAAAGTTCTATCATTGCATTCAGATTGATTGTCTTGGAAAAAATAAACTTCAGTAAATGATACATTTTTTTAATGTTTTTAAATTTATTGCACCTCGATTACATTTGGGTTATCAA